ACACACCCCTACCCCTCTCACCCTCTCTCTCTCTCTCTCTCTCTCTCTCTCTCTCTCTCTCTCTCTCTCTCTCTCTTGTAAATCCACTCTGTTTGGGTTGAAGTTAAAATGCGGAAGTTTCCGCCCAGCAAAGCCACTGATAGCGCGAAGATGAGGCTCGCGATGGCATCAGCGATCATCCCCGCTCCGTGCTGCTCTCCGCGGCTCTGCGTGGACTGAGATCAGACTCTCATGGCTTCTCTGCCAGCGTCAGAGCGGAGAGCATTCGCTCTCAAAATCAACAGGTAATGTTCATTTCCTTTGGCTGGACCTCATAGCCCGTGCACTGACACATCCCAGGGAAGCTGAGCTGACTTTTGGAGCTGTCTGTCTGTCCGCAGTCAGTGTTAAATCTTCAGGGAGTTTTGGTGAATTCCGGAACAGGCAGCTACACGTTTGGAATAAGCTACAAGTCTGGCACCATGAGACTTGATAGTGTTGTGAGTCTTCTTATCAATTATGGCTATGTGATATTACAGCTTATTTCATGAGTTATTGCACTAATTACAGTATTTATCAGTAGCCTACATTTAATGTTTTTTTTCAGTATGGAAATCGCATTTTCAAATAAGCTTTTAACTGAAGTATTAATAGCAACCTGTCACTTTCAGTATGCAGATGGTCTACATTCAAATACATCTGTGCTGTAAAAGTTATTGAGGTCCAGAGGCTTTCCACATGTATCCCTTCAGGCGAAAAGAAAGGAAGAATGATTGAAAAAATATGTCAAAGCATTTGAGTGCAATTTTCATTCATTTCCGTGTAATTCTAAATATGGATCTCCTGTCTATTTGATCATTTCCTCCACAAGCCCCCTTTTCTCTTCTGGTTATGATGAGTCAGTACTGGCCTCTGTTAGGTGTAAAGTTATGGTGGAAGTTTGTATTGTTCCTGTTTTATCACACAACAGGTGGGGAGGAAATGAATATACGGACATAGTGGAAGAAGGGAGTCCGGTAATAAAACAAAGGGAACAAAGTGCTCATATACAGGGTAATGATCGGTATTATGTCTTGTGAGTTTATGTCACACAAGCACACAAAGGTTCATTCATAACATAACTGTCATATGCCACACTCCATTTTTCCCCCAGCAGATTGTGGGAATCATGCAGTGGAGTGTCTTTATGAATTAATAAGCTGTTTGCTTATATAGTCACATGTGTTTAACCACTAGTTTATCTGAGGAACTCAGAGATGCTGTGTTTTCTCAGGTGTAACCGCTTCATGGTGGTTGAAATGTAAGGCTTTTGGCTTGTAATGAAGATGCTGCAGGTTTGATCCATACCAAGATGGCATGTTGCAATTTTGCACTGAATCTCAGGCTGCTGTCTGTGTACTCATGTTTTGGATGTTTTTTTTTTAATGACTAATAATCTATCTTCAGTAGCTATACATCACCCGTAGTGAGCATTTCATGGCTTTGCCAAAACGGGAAAACAGTATTTTACATGTTCAGCAGCATCCTGTGTAAGCGCTTGATCAGCATCAGTATTTGATATCTTTGCTTGTACTGATTACAAAAACATGAAAAGATATGTAATGTAGCTGTCTGAAAAGTTTGTTGCGGAGATGATTAGTTATTAGTTGATATTAAAGGGATAGTTCACCCAAAAATTAAAATTGTCATTAATTACTCACCCTCATGTCTTGCCAAACTCGTAAGACCTTCGTTCATCTTCAGAACGCAAATTAAGATATTTTTGATGAAATCCGAGAGCTTGTAAAATAGTTATGTTTTCCTGTGAGATTGGGTTTTTATTATTTTTATTATTATTATGTTATGGCCAATAAGTAAAAATTAATTATTAATTATTTTAATGTTATTATGAAATTATATTTTGTCAAAATTAAACACAAACTCTAAAGATGATGTGAATTTATGCATCACAGTATTATAATGTACGACAGTATGAAAAATGAAAAATTCATTTTGATAGCTGCTAAAGATTACATTATTATTAGATTATTAGCTTTTTTACAGATCAGTTGTGAGTGTTAGATGATGGCAAAGGTAACCTAATGGCGTTTTTCCACTGCGTGGTACGACTCGGCTCGGTACGGCTCAGTACGGCACGGCACGGTTTGCGTTTCCACTGCAGTTCAGTACCGCTTTAGAGTGGGCGGGATTATTCACATGTCATTACAGTTGTGCCGCCTCTACTACCACGACTCCTAAAGAGTCACCCCATCAAGCTCTCGCTGGATCCGCTCCTCTGCTATCAACGAGAGGAACATCTGTACTTCCGTAACAGACAACAAAACTTTTTGGTTGTTAAAAAAAGGTGCGCTCGTTCAAAACAGTTGCGTTCTATCCTTCGCTGGCTGTGGTGATTTAAATCTAGCGGTTCTTTTGTGTTTGTGTTGCAAGTTCAGTGACGCAGGTAGTGACGATTCTCTCTGGCCAGTCCGTGATCAGCAGAGTTTACACGTCACGTTTTGGTAAAGGTACGGTTCACTTGGAACCCCAACCGAGGTGGTACTAAAAAAAATTACCAGGTACCAGGTACTGTACCCAGGGGAAAACCCCCCAAAAGTGAACCATACCGAGCCGTACCATGCCATACCATGCAGTGGAAAAGCGCCATAAATGTAATGAGCTGCATAGTTAAATATCCAATACCAAAAAATTACAAAAAACACAGCCACACATTATGTTCTCACGCAGTGAAAAATGCATTGCGGAGCAACGAGGACATTGAAAATGTGCCAACAGACAAGACAGAGCAACTTTTGGTATGAAACAAAGTCTCCCCTTTCAAATTTGGTCTTTTTTAAGAAATTCAAACAACAAATACCGTTTTGTGGCTCTTTATTGTGTTGTGACAGATCGCTGTAGCGCTTCAGTTCAAGCGGCAAGTAAACCGATCATTTCTTCCTCTTTACTAGTTATAGCATGAAATAAACATGAATGAACATTAGAAGGTATCTTGTTTCAACCGCGCAAAGATGTCAATACACGATCTACTCTCCTGTCTGGTTTATTTGTCGGACAAAAATGACAGATTCTGCGTTACGATTGGCCAGATAGCCTGTCAGTCAAACTCCCTGTGAAGAGTCAGTTGTGTCGGTACATCTCTATTTTATAGTGAGCTCTAGGTTTATGTCTGTTGCCACAGCAGTATTGGGTAACTATGATTAAGCAATTAACAGTCACTGTTTCACTTCCTCGTTGTAAGGACACAATAGGAAATTCAGAAGGATTCACTGATGGTAAAGAGAGATTATAGGCATGTCTCTAAAACAAAGTTGGCAGTAAAAAGCCCAGATCTCATCGCTAACAGAATGATTCCCAGATTTTCATGCAAGTGCAGCCTGACAGCGCATCTCACTGGGGGCCGATACTTGCTGTGGCTGCAGCTGCTGTATTGCACAAGCTGAACTCGTGCTGTCTCGTGCAGACAGCTTTGGATAGTGGAAAAACGTCAACGCATACGCTGCAGATTTCTCTTGGCTCATGCACCACCCTCCGTGTCCCTTCTCATTTTCAGTGACCACACATTTATTTGCATGAAGGATGCATTCACACATGAAAAGTCCTGTGAGCACAGCTGTGTTTTGTACTGGAGAAGGATGCCCTGGGGTTTTTGTTTGCTCTTTATTCCATTTTCTTTTTAATAATCCTTTGATTTTCCGGGCGCATGGAGGAATATTTCTGTATGAGAAGTAACACTTAATGTTTTAGGACGGACATTGTGGTGAAAACAGAATGAAATGAGATGTGGCAGACTATAAACGAAAGCCCTCGTTCAGCAGAAAGGCTGTAGTTGAAGGAAATGCTCGACAGTATCACGAGAATAGTTCTTTAATTTCAGTTATCTTCAGCTGATGTTGACCTTCAAGGGAAGTTACACTCTAGAGTGGTGTTCTTGCACAATAGTGTTCACAATCATACTTGGCTGTGACGGCTAAGACTAACAATCATAGTCCGCTCTCTTTGGAATGTGGCTGCCACTTTCATGGCCGTACTTAGTACTTATGATTTACAGTCTCTTGTCATCATGCACAATCTGCAATGGGGAAAAATAAGAGCAAATCTGTCAAGTTGATTTTTGTTCATTTAGTTTTTTTTTTGAAAGATGTCACTTTTGGTTATTGACACTATTGAATGTTTGGATTCCTGGGGGCCGATACTTGCTGTGGCTGCAGCTGCTGTATTGCACAAGCTGAACTCGTGCTGTCTCGTGCAGACAGCTTTGGATAGTGGAAAAACGTCAACGCATACGCTGCAGATTTCTCTTGGCTCATGCACCACCCTCCGTGTCCCTTCTCATTTTCAGTGACCACACATTTATTTGCATGAAGGATGCATTCACATATGAAAAGTCCTGTGAGCACAGCTGTGTTTTGTACTGGAGAAGGATGCCCTGGGGTTTTTGTTTGCTCTTTATTCCATCTTCTTTTTCATAATCCTTTGATTTTCCGGGCGCATGGAGGAATATTTCTGTATGAGAAGTAACACTTAATGTTTTAGGACGGACATTGTGGTGAAAACAGAATGAAATGAGATGTGGCAGACTATAAACGAAAGCCCTCGTTCAGCAGAAAGGCTGTAGTTGAAGGAAATGCTCGACAGTATCACGAGAATAGTTCTTTAATTTCAGTTATCTTCAGCTGATGTTGACCTTCAAGGGAAGTTACACTCTAGAGTGGTGTTCTTGCACAATAGTGTTCACAATCATACTTGGCTGTGACGGCTAAGACTAACAACCATAGTCCGCTCTCTTTGGAATGTGGCTGCCACTTTCATGGCCGTACTTAGTACTTATGATTTACAGTCTCTTGTCATCATGCACAATCTGCAATGGGGAAAAATAAGAGCAAATCTGTCAAGTTGATTTTTGTTCATTTAGTTTTTTTTTTAGAAGATGTCACTTTTGGTTATTGACACTATTGAATGTTTGGATTTTGAGAGAAATAGACCTTTTGTGTACATAGAAAAAGTCTTAGATCTTTGAGTTCAGCTCATGAAAAATGGGGGCAAAAACAAAAGTGTTGCGTTTATAATTTTGTTCAGTGTAAATATATTTTTTAAACAATACATTGAATTAAAAGTTTAGTTCTAATTAGGTCAATATAGTACACTACCGTACACAAACGTTTGGGATCATTGTGAATAAGTGCATTAAATTGATCAAAAGATACATTTATAATGTTATCAAAGATTTATATTTCAAATAAATGCTTTTGAGCTTTCTATTATATTATATCATATTAGACTGATTTCTGAAGGATCATGGGACACTGAAAACTGGAGTAATGGCTGCTGAAAATTCAGCTTTACAATCACAGGAATAAATTACATTTTAAAATATATTCCAACTGTTACTTTAAATTGTAATAACATTACACACTTTTACTGTTTTTTCTGTATTTTTAATTAAATAAATGTAGCCTTGGTGAGCATAAGAGACGTCATGCTTTTCAAAAACATTTAAAAAAAATCTTACTGACCTCAAACTTTTGAATGGTAGTTTATGTACTAGAAATAGACATATTATATAAAGCCAATTTTATATATTTAATTGTTTCTGCCTATTGTAAGATTTAGATTATCATTTAGTGATAACAGGATTTTGATACATTACAGCAAAAATTCAACCCTTTAAATAGACAGTTCACCAAAAAAATAAAAATTCTGTCATCATTTACTCACCCAAACAGTTTTGGCTACCATGGACTTCTATTGTACAGACAAAAATAACACAGAGACATTTTTCATTTTTGGGGGGTGAACTATGACTTCAAGAGCACCGTGAATGTGGTTGCCATTTAAGAGTGCAATTTTAATATTGGTTCATCCGTAGTTAAAAAAATAAATAAATACAATACAGATGCATTTTAAATTGATGCGGTGACTTAAAGGGATAGTTTACCCACAAATGAAAATGCTATCATTAATTACTCACCCTCATGTCGTTTCAAACCCATAAGACCTTCGTTCATCTTCAGAACACAAATTAAGATATTTATTATCTTAATAAATAATGTTTATTATTATTGATGAAATCCTAGAGCTTTCTGGCCCTACATTGACAGCAACACAACTGACATGTTCAAGGCCCAGAAAGTGCAAAAATAATGACTTTATTCAACAATTTCTTCTTCTTCTTGTCGTGGTACTCTTGTGAACATGCATCGACTGAGACGGAAGAAAATTACCCACAAATGAAAATGCTATCATTAATTACTCACCCTCATGTCGTTTCAAACCCATAAGACCTTCGTTCATCTTCAGAACACAAATTAAGATATTTATTATCTTAATAAATAATGTTTATTATTATTGATGAAATCCTAGAGCTTTCTGGCCCTACATAGACAGCAACACAACTGACACGTTCAAGGCCCAGAAAGTGCAAAAATAATGACTTTATTCAACAATTTCTTCTTCTTCTTGTCGTGGTACTCTTGTGAACATGCATCGACTGAGACGGAAGAAAAGAAATTGTTGATTAAAGTTGTTAGTATTTTTGTAGCTTCTTAACATTATGGCTGAACCACTGATGTCACATGGACTATTTTAATGATGTCCTTCCTTATTACGTTTCTGTGCCTTGACCGTGGTAGTTGCGTTGCTCTCTATATGCAGGGTCAGAAAGCTCTCAGATTTCATCAGAAATATCTTAATTTGTGTTCTGAAGATGAATGAAGGTCTTATGGGTTTGGAACGACATTAGGGTGAGAAATTAATGACAGAATTGTCATTTTTGGGTGAAATATCCCTTTAAAAACATTAATGTTGCAAGAAAAGTCGTGGCTAAATGGCCAAAGGCGTCTGTCTGATGTGTGTATAGAGACCAGCAATTTAAAAAGTTGCACAGACAGAACTTGCTCCATCCCTTCCCCTTCCACCCTTCAGAAGTTCTTTAGTACCTGGTTGAGTAATCTCTAATGTAGTGAACAAAATGACCCAAATGCTTACAGTATACAAGCAATTATCATCAGAATGCCTTAGAAAATATTTCTGATCTTTGTAATCATATTATCAAAAAGTCTGTAACAAAATCATGTTTGTTTGTTTGTGTGAAATGTTCCCAATAATTACAGCTCCTGTCAAAGTTGATGGAAAGCCAATGGAGCAGAAGGAGGGTCAAATTGAGACTCATCTCTGCACCCTATGTCATTACCTCCAGTGCAGAGAACAGTCCATGATAATACAGAAACACCATCATCCAGAGTTTCATGAGCTGTTTTGTTGTGATGAACATTCCAGTCATATTAAAGACTAACATTTTTGTGGAGTGTAAACTGTAGCTCACACCCATCTCAGCCTTTTATGTTTAATTGTTTTTTCTTCATAGTGACTTTTGTCATAGGACTCGACTGAATGCCTGGTTATCCTATAAAAGATCTGATATTCCTTTCTTTGCTTTTATAGAGAAATGTGATTTTGTGATGTGTTTGGTTTAGAAATTCAGCTGGCGTTTTGTCTTGCATGAGGTTTGACCTTTGTTCTATAATGACGTGAACTATTATGAACGAATCGTGAATGTGTTGCATTACTAAATACTCTCTGTGGTATTCTGTGGTCTGTCTTCAGTATATAGAGAGGCTGCATGCTATAATTCACTCCTGTTTGTCTTTGCCCTGTGGTTTAGAGAATTTGCATGCTCTCCTGCCCCAGACTTGACTTTTTTTAAGTAGTTAACGAAGTTTGTAGCTGATTTTGTGGATATTTTCCCAGAAAGCAGTGACAAATAAATCCCATTTAATAATTCAACAAATCTACTCTAGTTTTGAAAAGCTAGCCTTTCGAGTTGATATTTTGAGTTGGTTCAAGTTACCAAACAGAGTCCTGAAAAACAAGAACAGCAGCTACAACATTTTTAATTTAACGGATGGTGTTGCAGTTCATTTTGTTATGTCGCCTTTTTGTGTGATTGCTATGTTCATAACGATCTTGGAAATACAATTCAAAAGTTTGGGTTCTGTAAGATTTGTATTTATTTATTTATTTTGCTATTTCTAAAGTGAAGTCTCGTACTCATCAAGGCTGCATTTATTTGATCAAAAATACAATAATATAGTAAAATATTATTTCTGTTTAAAAGAACTGCTTTCTATTTTTATATATTGTAAAATGCAGTTAATTCATGTGATGCAAAGCAAACATAGTGAATATAAAGTGCACTTGATTACAGAAACCCCATTATCCTACAACAGACAATCTGTGTAAATGAGTTTGGGAAGAAACAACACAGCGTTATGAATGGTGACCCATTTTTTAGGACTTTTGATAAGCGGGTGCACAATAACACTCTGTTGTATCGTGGCCTGGAGGGCTGGCTGCCAAACACAATACCTCTCTGCTTCTGAGGCGAATCCTTCTGCTTAAATCAATGGAGGTTATAGGAGAAAAACAGGCTGCATTGTGGGAATTGTTGGCTGAGACACTGTGGGAATGTGACTGAAGTGATTTAGGTTTGAAAATGAGAATTGCAACTAACTGCTTAAGTGGTAACTTGGTTGTAGTGTAGTGTTTTTGAGGTGTTGAATTCACTCAAGTATATGCTCTAAATTTAAAGTAAATCTCATGCTGTGTCGTTTTTTTACACTGTGAATTTTCATTTCATCAGTGATGCTGCAGTGGGACAGAGAAATCTGGGACACTGTCTGTCTTATGGTGGTTAGGAAGCACAGGTGCACCACGACACACACACACACACACACACTCATCAGCGCACCCTATCCAGTGTTTGAGGAACATGTCATTAGAGTGTCTAAATAATTTTACGCTTCATTTGGGAGTCTCACAGCATTCGTTTCAAACACACACACATAAACAATGAGAGGAGTGTGTAAACAAGCACCTGGTGCCGTCCCAAAACCTCTCACTGGAAAATAATCCTATATTGCACCTCATTTTCTGTTTCCTCTCACCCTCTTCATCTTTGTCTCCCTCTCTCACCTCAGACACTCCTCGGCGGAGATCCGGAAACACTTCAGTGGGATCACCCATGGTTCCCTGCCTCACCACCGGCACAGTTACAGCGCCTCTGGCTCTTTCTGCTTCAACATAGTGAGTGCTGCACTTTCACTGATAAATACTTCAGTAGAATCCAGCTTAGTAACTTCAAACTGATTCTGAACATACAAACAGGTCTTTGGTAAATTATACATGGATGTATGTTTATAAACACTTTATTCTGTATGTGGGAATAGGTGTGGGTAATTGTCTGTCACATCACTGTCTACTCTGATTCCGTTTAAAAAGAAATGTAAGAAGGTTTGTTTATATTTTTCATATTTCTTTCTGGAATACTGCTCTCTGATTGGTCAATCATGGCATTGAGCAGTCAAAAGATTTTGTATAATAATTTAATGGATTAATTTAATATTTATTTATTGCATTTATTTAATACCAATTAAACTAATTAATTAAAAAATACTAATATTAAATTATATTTTTATTTCATTTAATTTATTAACATTAGAAATGAATGGGAAGTTCAAAATGTGTGTGTGTATGTGCATATACTTAAGCTCCAACCTGTCTGTGCTTCCTCTATGCTGAAAATGGGTCAGAGCCCAGGCTACCAGACCACTGCAGCTGGTGCTTTCCAGCTTACACACACACACACACACACACACACACACTTACACTCATCTGTAATATCCATGGATTTTAGAAGCTGTTGACTTCATGGAAACATAATCTTCCCTATGATGTTTTCCCATTTTTCACATAGATTGCAGTGAAAGGCAAATGTTAATGTTATTATTTTGAAAGATGAAAAACTGCTATTATCAGGATTAAGTACAGATTATCCCTCTGTAATAATGTGTTAAAATGATTGATAAGTAGTCATAATTCTTGAATATTTGATAAATTCAGTTGTTTATGCATGATAGTGCCCTGATGTGTCCACTTGTATCTTACAGCACAAGAAACCCTTAAATTTAGCATTCATTGCTTGTTTATTGTAAAACAATATTTTTAACCAATAGCAAGGCACAATTGTTAATTGTTAGTTAAGTATTTTACTATGCATCTGCATTCTTGTTTATTGAAACATGCAATAATGGTCTACAATACCTCTCACTTTTTTGACACTGATCATATAATTCCTTCAGTGTTTCTTAAAGTTGAAAGCAGAATATTGACTCATCATTTGATTTTAACTTATCTTTACGTTTTTGACTTATGAGTGCATATGTGCCCCTGCTATTTCGTCATAGCTTTTAAGGGAAGTGGTTGTGATGTCATATCCTGGTTTTGGAAGCCACAAAAGATAGACTGCTTCATGCGGCTCAAACCTATTAAGGAAGAGTTTTGCAGAAACAAGTCGTTTTTGTTTCCGGGCAACGCCATCTTGTCAGTTGCCTCGTAGTTTGTTCGTAGGAATTTTTTGGTGAGTATTTTCTTCCACCCTTTTCAGATGCACTTGCTCTGTCTGCTGTATGTTGGTTGCATTCAATTTGTAGATGCAGAAATGAAACTCTAAGCTAAATTTGCACAATGCACACAGCCTGGGTGGGTTATATTAAGCTTGATGTTGTTGAATATAGACCGGGAACTGTTTTGTGGTTGCTTCCATGTTCCAAAAAGCACAATTAGGCCTCAGGATGAGAAACTTACATTTAAACCTTTATGTTAAATAATACAATTATATGAAAGTCAGAGTTTTCTTATTTCCTATTTTCTCTAAGAAATGCATTGCACTCGAATGCCTTTTTGTTTCCCATTGCTGCTTTTGAGTGAATGAGGTTAGATGAGCTACAGAAATAACACCTCCACCCATAGACTATATCAGTATTCATCAACAATTACCCTCTGCTCCTCCCTTGTCAGCTGCTGCTGATGTACACAAACCACACAGCAAAAAAATGTTTGAACAGTTGCAATATTTAAATACAAAGGCTTTTAACAGTTATTATTATGCCCAAACTTTGTTCCCTGTACTACCTCAGGTAGACACCAGAGATGTAAGCAGGCACTTGCTATGCAAAAATCTATGGATGCCTGTTTCCACCTTAGATTAAATAAATAAAAGCTAATAGAATTTATACCTCACTATTGTAACTTATTTTTTCACAAATGGGACTTTATTTCACACACTTGTGACTTTATATATTCACAGTGTAACAACTTTTGTTTCTCCATATTACAATTTTTATTTTTCACATTTGCAACTTTATTTCTCATAACTGTGATTTTATTTCCCACTATTGTGACTGTTTCTCATAATTGCAAAGTTATATCATGCTATTGCAACCTCATATCTCTCACTTGCGACTTTATTTCTCTTTTACGACTTTTTTTCTCACTTTTGCAACTTTCTTGCAATTGCAAATTTATTTCATGCTATTGCAAATTTATATCTCGCAGTTGTGACTTTGTTACCATTCTGACTTTATTTCTCATTTGCGACTTTCTCAATTTTGCAACTTTATTGCTTGCAATTGCGATTTTGTTTCACTCACTTGTGACTTTATATCTCATTATTGCGACTTTATTTCACAGTGTTACAACTTTGCTTCTCCCTGTTACCATTTTTATTTCTCACTTTTGCAACGTTATTTCTCGTAATTGTGATTTTATTTCCCAAGTTTATTTCATCCTATTGCAACTTTCTATCTCGCAGTTGTGACTTTGTTACCATTCTGACTTTTATTTCTCTTTATTTCTCATTTGTGACTTTCTCAGTTTTGCAACTTTATTTCTTGCAATTGCGACACTATTTTACACTTTTGAAACTTACTATATCTCACAATTGTGACCTTATACTGTACCTCAAGGTCCTCAATATTTTGTGATAATTTCATAGTTTGCAACTTTACAGTATCTCTTGTATCTGACAAAAAGTATAAAGCTTATTTGATCTATTCTCACAATTACCCTGTTTATTTTTTACTCTGAGGCAGAAATGGGCTTCCATAGAGATCAGATAACTTAGACAGTACAGTGCTCTTCTTAAGATTCCTTGATGAAATGCCGCAGACACATGATTTTCATTATATAACAAACTTATCTAGATTGATTGTTTATTGATGTCTGCTGTGATGAGATTCAACATCTACACCTTTACATGCTTTAGATATGATACTTTGTTTTGAAAATGTTTTATCAGTATTGTTAGTTATAAGTTATAAGTCCTTGTGTTATAAGGGCATGTTTCAGATAACTGGTAATATTTTTGTACAACACTTTGCAAGAGATAAGCCGTCACTAAACCTTAAGTGTGAAAATAAATGTTACGTAACCAGCTAGGGTTATCATAAAGTTACACTTTATTAAATCCTTTATTTGACATGCTTTGGTCTCTTTCCACAGGCTAGCATTAGTTTGCTGGTTTAAGTTTTATGCCCAATAGCCTTCTGATTAATCCATTTCTATGAAACATCTCAAGAGATCACAACCTCCCAAAACACTACAGCAGTTATGTTGATTATCTCCAGCAGGTCTGGAGCTGTCTGCCTCAAGTCACGACAAAACACGCTCTGTTCCACTCCAACTTTACTGAAGGAGGAATACAACTATAGGCAATGCATTTTTTACTGCTATGTTCTGAACATGTCATCAGCTTTAAAATGATTTATTGCTTCCTACCAGCCTCCTTCTTTGTTTCATTGTTTTATGGAGGTCATCGAGCATTCTAGTTCTCTTTGTGTGTGTTTTTATTTTAGGCATTTCATTAGTTGGTATAGAGGGAGATTAAAAGCATGTCTTCTTTGATACACAACAAATGTTGAATTGGATTGAATGCTTTAGTGTCGATAAAAATACAGTAGTGATATATTCAGGGTAGACTTCATATTTTATGATGGTTTCTGGCCTCTGTTTGCTGCAACTAACTGCAACTTTTTTGCTTACATTATATATAGATTACTGTATTTTTGATTCTATAGAGGCTGTTGAATAAAGTATACATTTTCATAATTTACACTACTTTTGCTTCATATTATTATGAGGTCATGGATTATGTTTCAAATGGTCTCCTAAAATAAAGGGAAGTGAAGTGAAGTGACATTTGGCCAAGTATGGTGACCCATACTTGGAATTAGTGCTCTGCATTTATCCCATCCAAAGTGCACACACACAGCAGTGAACACACACACACCGTGAACACACACCCGGAGCAGTGGGCAGCCATTTATGCTGCGGCGCCCGGGGAGCAGTTGGGGGTTCGGTGCCTTGCTCAAGGGCGCCTCAGTCGTGGTATTGAAGGTGGGAGAGAGCGCTGTACATTCACTCCCCCCACCTACAATCCCTGCCGGTACGAGACTCGAACCTGCAACCTTTGGGTTACGAGTCCAACTTTCTAACCATTAGGCCACGACTTCCCCAAATTTTCTTTTTTTTTTCTTTTTTTTTTTTTCTTTAAAGTGAACAAGTGAAAAGAAAGGTTATTTATTAGCGTCTATGGTTACATGAAGAACCTTTAACATCCATGGAACCTTTCCATTCTACAAAAGGTTCTATACTGTAGAAAAATAATCTTTCGATTTTTTAAAAATGATCTTTGCACTAAGAAAAACTGTGCACTAAAGGTTCTCTGGGGAAACACCAATTGTTCTTCTATGGTCTCGTTGCAAAACCCCCTTTTGAAACCATTATTTTTAAGAGTGTATCCAGGGGGATTTCATAATACCTGGTCTGTCCATACCATCAAAGAGCTCATTTTATGATCACTAGTTTTTTGATTGTATGTCCTGGTTATCTTTATAGCCTCAGTCATATGAAGCAGTTGAGCCGGTGGACCTGGATGAGTTCCTGATGTCACATATTTTAATTTATATATTTATATATATATATATATATATATATATATATATATATATATATATATATATATATTTATAAAATGAATAAATTAATATATATATTTAATTTATTATTACCATTTGAAAAATAAATACATTATTTTATTGTTTTGTAATTATACACATAAAATTAAAACACACTATGTGTTCGGAGTGTGTGTGTCTGTAAAGCTTTGAGTGTTGTTTGAATGTGTGTGTTTGTGTGTCTCCAGAGTGGAGCTGGATCCTCATGTGAGGGATTGTGTTCAGAGTTACACGCAGCCCTGGCTGGTGGTTAGCAGAAGGTCAATTCACAGACTTCATTCATTTCCTCTCCCTCCTCAGGGCTGAATTTTAAATACTGCAGCTTAAATATTCAAAAAACATAACTCATAGAAATGACACCAGACACACAGATACTATAATGCTGTTGTGTTTCTCATTTACAGATCTCAGGGTTATGGGTGGATTGCGTACGCCGAGAGGACAGATACTAACAGAGTCTTACAGAGACAGACGTTTGAGTCTGACGTTGAGCCTGACAAACAAGAGCAAGTAGTAAGCACAGTTTATATATATATAAAAAACTATTTTATACAGAAGCCTTTTTACAACAACAAAGCAGCTAATTGGGATTTTTGTTCACATTGTTATTAGTGTCACTCAAGGACGCCACCCAACCCCACAGCCACTTATATTCCTCTTTTTTGTTTGTAATTATTATTATTATATTAAAGCCTCTGAAGTGTGTCACCACCCGTTCCATTATGTGTGCTCATTCCCTGCCATAAGACACAAACAAAACATATTCATTTCCTCTTAATAAGAAGTAAACAGTCGAAAAGAATAAGGAAAATAAGCAGAATCTTTCTCCCAGGTATTTTTCTTTTCTATTTGTCCCCATGACCACCATCTTGGCTCCATCCCACCTCTATTTTTCAGAGTCCAGGGACATAATGAGGCATGAATATTCATTCTGTCCCGACTACTTCCATCCCAGTGCAGCTTTGCCAAGATTTAATTATCCAAACCACAAAGATTTGTTTCACTCCATGTATTTTTCATGAGTTTAGTTTGAGAGTCTGCAGGAACACCAAGATCCTCCCTTAGTTTTGGATCCTTTAAAGGGCCTCCACATTCACTGCAGGGGTTATTAGCAATCCAGAGGAGTACCAAAGGTCCCGCTAGCCAGCTCTGTTCTGTGATGTGTGTCTTTAAGCAAGTGGATTAAGAATACAAATGGTACGGGAAGGTCTATCCCACAGGCTAGACGCAATGTATCATGGGAACCCTGCATGATGCCCACTATCAGAGCCAGTGCATATGGTTCTTATATTTGGCGATTAACAGAAATCTCTCCTAGGGTTTTGAGAATTCATCTATCTCAAAGGCTTATGGTCTTCCTGGAAAGGCATTAGTCTCAGAACTATAAGAGCTCCTCTGCTCTATTTCACATGTAGTTATGTGGCAAAGGAGTGAATGAAGTTAAGCAGGCATTGCCAGTTCAGTCAAATCACAAAAGACACACAAAATGAAAGTAAAATGAAAAACAAAAGCATATGAAATGAGCTACTTTCCAATCTTATGTCTTTTGTGAATACTGACTGAGCTGGCAATGCCTCCTCAACTTCATTGACAGTTCAGTCGGTGATCAACAGACATAAGATTGGAAAACAGTTTATTCACGTGCTACTTTTTTTTTGTTCTGTATATGTGCATATTTTTCTTAGACAGTGGTTTTTCACAGTTTTTAAGCCACGGACCTCCACATATGATGATTTTTTCCCCCCTAAATTAGCCATTTACTTAACATATCCGAATACTGTGTGGATCCTAGGGTTTTGAGAATTCATCTATCTCAAAGGCTTATGGTCTTCCTGGAAAGGCATTAGTCTCAGAACTATAAGAGCTCCTCTGCTCTATTTCACATGTAGTTATGTGGCAAAGGAGTGAATGAAGTTAAGCAGGCATTGCCAGTTCAGTCAAATCACAAAAGACACACAAAATGAAAGTAAAATGAAAAACAAAAGCATATGAAATGAGCTACTTTCCAATCTTATGTCTTTTGTGAATACTGACTGAGCTGGCAATGCCTCCTCAACTTCATTGACAGTTCAGTCGGTGATCAACAGACATAAGATTGGAAAACAGTTTATTCACGTGCTACTTTTTTTTTGTTCTGTATATGTGCATATTTTTCTTAGACAATGGTTTTTCACAGTTTTTAAGCTACGGACCTCCACATATGATGATTTTTTCCCCCCTAAATTAGCCATTTACTTAACATATCCGAATACTGTGTGGAAAAAAAAGAACAAACAAGTATTAAATAACAATACAAAATTTGATAGATGTTTTTAAAATTTTCTTTTTACTATTTTCTTTTTCTTTTCTGTTTTCTTATTTTCTTTTCTTTTATATGTATACATTTTAATATGATAAATGTGAACAGTATTTTTTTGTTCATTATAAAACTTTTTTATAAACTTAAAAAAATTTGATAAATGTGAACAGTCCTTATTTTTATTGTTAATTCTACATTTATTATGTCATTATATATATTCTATATGAACTTTTTCAAATTTGATGAATGTGAGTTTTTATTATTTTATTTTATTTTATTATATTATATTTTTTTTATTTTATTTTAATAAAGAATTACAAAATTATTTCTTTTTATAAAAACTTTTCTTTAGACCCCCCAACACTCTCTTTTGGGCTCCTTGGGGTTCTAAGGCTCCAGTCTGAAAAATATAATATAAAAAATTCCTATGTATGTAATATGTAATATGTTCTCTCCTGTCCCTCAGGAAAAATCACCGTCCCTGCCAGCACTATGTGATGATACAACTCGAACCACCCTCACATGCTCAGACTTCAATTTACGGGCCCTGCAGCCGGACCGTCGTGTGGAGAGCCTCTTGCGCTTCAGCAGCCCGGAGGAGCTGGATCGTTTCAACCTGGAGGCCAGAAATAGCAACCGCTACGGCGAGCTCTTTGGCCTCTACCCACCTATTGATGAGGTGCAGCCTTGCCTTACTTATTTTAAATACTGTTTAACAATGTTCTTTACAGAATATTCTTGAGCGATTCATTTTTGTGAACACAAGGATTCAGTTAGAAGTTAAATATTGTCTTCAGTCTGTGCTTGACTGTGTACAGGAGGATGCAGTAGCGATTCGGCCCATTCCCGACTGTCCCAAGGAACACTTTGGGCAGAGGATACTAGTGCGATGCCAGACCATCAAGTAATACTTCCTTACCATCCACTAATATTGATTATTTTCTCTGAATGATTGGTCTGATAAATTATTTTAAATGACTTGTTACATTTTATACTTTGAGGTTGAAATGGTCTTCATAGCATATGCATAAAAATTTGGTTTAGAGTTGTGTTTGGTTTTGAAATATTGTTCTTCCTTCTACAGATTTGAGATTGAAATTGAGCCCCTCGTTGCAACCATGGCCCTCTATGACCTGAAGGAGAAGAAGAAGGTCAGTTTCTGATGCTTATCCTAAAAGTTATGAAAAAAATCTTAAATATGTGGTATAGTTTTTGTATTTTGACCCTTTAGCTTAAACCCATTTGCTTAAGCTGGGGAGACATAATTAATAAATATTCTTCCTGTCAGTGTTCTTCCTGTTAGTCCTCCCACATTCCTCCACTTCAGTCTGAACAGAGCTGGAGAGACTAATGAGATATATTTTTATTATCCACAGCCATAAACATTGTTTTGTCAAAAGTTAAATCAACATCTATATTTAATTTGTGTGTGTAGACATCTAAGACAACAATTTAATTACCAAGAAGTAGAAATGGGTCACCAAATTCAGTCTGAACCATTTAGACCAAGGTCTATAAAATCAGTGAAGATGAACCACTCAAGTACACAGCTTGTCTTTACCAAAAATTTGAGAACTTGGACTGACAGTCAAGGATCTTAAGGAATCAGCGAGTTTTAATGCAAGCTGTGTGTATTTCCATATTAAATGGACAGACAGCAGATATATTTGGGAGGAATATTCTGAAGTATTACATTAATCCTCTTTAGCTTTTACTGAAGAAGGTTAATGCAAGAGACAGACCAGATGATTCATGCTAAATAGGAACTTTATGCAGCATGGGATTTTTTTTCTACGGCTTGGTGAAGAGAGTGTTTTGGATGGGAGGAATTACCCATTTCACAATGTTAAGAGCGAAAAACATAATTTAGGATGTCTGATATGCCTGAGTAAGGCTTGAAGATTAGTTGTGTCCGATTGAGTGAGATTCAGAGTTCAGTTAGGGCCAAACTGTGCTAATGTTGCTCTCTTTGAGGTGTCTTTAGTTTCTGATTGGCTCACTCTGCTTGAAATTTGAGGAAGTATTTTTGTTCTTTATGCACCACAATTTCCCTTCTGATTCTTTGACGATGTGGTAAAACATTTAGCTGGCTGGTTGTTTTATGCTATCCATGCTAATCATGGTATTTTTTTCCTTCAGATTTCAGAGAACGTCCACTTTGACATGAACTCCGATCAGATGAAGGGTTTCCTGCGGGCTCACACTCCCCACACTGACCCCTCCACTTTGGCCAGATCTGCAATTTTCTCCATCTCCTACCCTTCTCCAGATATCTATCTGGTCATTAGGGTATGGTTGAGTAATGGCTACCGTATGCCTAAAAATGATTAAAATGCATAATTTTATTATCTTGATTTGACTTTATCATCTTGTTTTGTTGGTTTTAAATATTTATTTTAAAAAAGTGATTAACCTATATATAGGTTAGGCTGATCAGTCCACAGGTATTTAGCCATTTTGACACTTTGTAAATGAATAATAAACATTTTCTTTATTTTCAGTGAAGTTTGAGTTTATGTACATTATCATTCAAAAGTTTAGGGTCAGTAAGATTAGTTTTATGTGTTGGAAGTAAGTATTTTATGGTCACCAATTTGCACTTTTAAAGCATATATACAGTGAAAACAGTAATATTGTG